CCACTTTTATAAAAGGAAACTGCTTCCTATTATCAAAATTCATTGACACCTCCTGGTTGTCAGGTCTACTGTATGGCCTCATGACCTCCATGCTTGCTCCTCCTTTGATAGTAGCTGGCTGTATACATCATGTAATTCATTATTCCATTTCTTTACCAAATTATACTTCTGCTTCCTATCTTTTAACCCAATAACTGAATACAGAAAATCATTATAAAAATTACCTAGAGTAATAGAAAACTTGATACATGAGCACATTTATGGCAGTTCAGTTCATGATGTAAAAATTAAAAATGTAAATCCCTGAAAATATAAAGATAATTACATGTTATGATACAGTCACACAATGGAATATGTAGTCATTATTTACACTTTAAGTTTTATGTAAAAAAACTTTATATGAAACTAAGACACCAATAAAAATATAAAAGATACAGAAAAACATGAAGAACATTAAGAACCATAATTCAGCCTATCAAACTCACTGATAACATTTTTGTATATTTCCAATATCTTCTCCATGAAAATATAAATATATATTTATATATAAATAGAATCTTATCCCATACAGAGTTCTATGTATATCTTGTACTTTTTCTCTTAATACCATAAGTATATTCTTATCCTTACAACATTTTTAGAAAATAGAAGTTTTAATGACTGCATAATATTACATCATGTAGATGCATCATAATTTGACCTTTCCCCTATTTTGGGGGGGAGGACAGCATAAAAATATTCTTGTAAATATCTTGAACATTTATCTGTTTATGTGTTCTAATGTAGTTCAGAATGCTTGACCCAGACCCACCACTTTTTGGAGAAACCTAATTGAACATCAGTGCTAATCACAATTATATGCCTTATCAGTTCACCCCTGGGTATGTTTGAAAACACCAGAGTTAACATCTGAACAAAGCTAGCCAACCAAAGGTTTATGGTTTGGCCCAGACTAAAAGACTTGTCAGGAGGTAGTAATTACAAGTTAAGCCAATCATCTCCCCACTACTACTCAGAAATCTGGAGACCCAGAAAGAAGTTACAGGTTAGTGGTGGGCAATAAAATTGAAAAAAAAGTACATTCAAGGGTGTGGTACAATTATAAGCATGCACAGAGTGAGTAAACAGGAAGTCAATCTGTAGAGGAGTGGATAACCAAAGAGAAACAAAAATAAGTTCTTGAAAGAGTAGCCTCATTGTCTAATGGCTTTCTAGAGCAAGTTCTCATATTTAAGCTTCTGTCCCTGTGGGTTTTTTGTTTTGTTGAGATTCTGAAACATAATGTTATATAACACTTTTTTATATGAAATAAGTAGAGCTTTGCTCTTTGTGAATAGGATTTCCCTAACAATGGGAAACCCTATTTCCATAGAATATATGCCTAGATATAAAATCACTGTAGAATGAGTAATAACAATTTTAAAGCTTATGATTTGCCACATAGCTTTTCCAAAGTCTATCAATTTACTCTCAACATAAACAGTATATAAGTATCAATCATTCTGTACTCACTGAAAATAGCTTTTATAATTTTTGTTAATTAAAAAAAATGGTTTTTCATTGCTTTAAGGGGCTTCCCAGATGGCGCTAATGGTAAAGAATCCACCTGCCAATGCAGGAGACACAAGAGACATGGGTTTGATCTCTGGGTTGGGAAGATCTCCTGGAAAAGGAAATGGCAACCTGCTCTAGTATTCTTGCCTGGAAAATTCCATGGACAGAAGAGGCTGGTGGGCTACAGTCCATGGGGTTGCAAAATGTTGGAGATGACTGAGTGCACACATACACATTGCTTTAATCTGTTGATGTCCTGTGCCATTTTTTAAGCTAGGTATCCATCTCATATTAATTTTATAAATTAAGCTTATAACTACCTTAATCATGGCAAATATTTTCCCTGTTGTTTTAACTCTTGTATGGTCTTAACCTATAGTTAAAATTTGTTAATGTAGTTAGATTTCTGAATTCCATTTCATCAAAGTTTAAAAAAGTGCATGTGTGTTTTCAACTATATAAAAACACACTTTAACTAAGTAAGTAAGTAAGTAAGTAAAGTCACTCAGTCGTGTCCGACTCTTTGCGACTCCATGGACTGTAGCCTACCAGGCTCCTCTGTCCATGGGATTTTCCAGGCAAGGGTACTGAAATGGGTTGCCGTTTTCTTCTCCAGGGAATCTTCCCAACTCAGGGAATGAACCCGGGTCTCCAGCATTGCAGACGCTTTACCGTCTGAGCCACCAGGGAAACCCCAAAAACACGCTTTAGTGAATTATAAATATTTTATGTTTAAAGTGGTAGAACCCCCTCTAAAAAAAAAAAGAAAGAGAGAAACCTTGGTCTAATATTGAATACAAATCAGAAGAAGAGGATGGGGTTAACTTGCGATTTTTTTTTGATGAAGCGAACTTCACGAAACCATATACAGATTCATGGAACACAGTTTGAAAACTTGTGCTTTAATCAATACATATTAGGTGAATATCTATATGATGTTGGTCATGAGATGAAAGCGTAATTTTATTTTTCTTTACAAGGGCTTTCCTTGTGACTTAGCTGGTAAAGGATCTGCCTGCAACAGGAGACCTGGGTTCAGTCCCTGGTTTGGGAAGATCCCCTGGAGAAGGGAAAGACCACCCACTCCAGTATTCTGGCCTGGAGAATTCCATGGACTGTATAGTCCATGGGGTCACAAGAGTCAGACACCACGGAATGACTTTCACTTTCACTTAGTATTACAAACTCTATTTTGCACCCATAGTATTTTTCTGATTATTTTAAGAATTTAGAAAGTTACTGGTTTTTATATTTTTATCCACCTTAATGGGTTTATAATTAGTTCATTTAAATTAACTTTTAAAACATATTGTAGACATGCCTTTATGTTTGCCTAATAAACATTTGCCTGTTCTCTTATATGAATAAGATTAATCAATAAATCAATATTGAGAAGTTGAAAATTGGTCAGTTAACCAGTATCATTTTGCTATAGTCTTTTAATCACATATAAGTAAAATTTTAATTCAATCAAGGGTTTTCAAAACTTCTTAAAGGGAGATTTAAGCTATTTTGATAAATCTGATTTGCTCTCATCTTGATCTGTGTTCTCTAAGTTTTTAAATCATCTTCATATTGTTTCTGTTTTCTGCCTTTTATGCTTTAGGGACTGAATATTCTTTGTTTTTATCTTCCTGTTTTGAAATATATGTGCTTTTAGTTCTTTTAATTGTAATTTTTAACTCTGTAAAAAAATTTTTAGGCCTTTCTTTCTAGAATTGTTAAATTCAAGAAAATATAATGAATCCATGCTATTTAAGACCAGAAATGTCTTTTGCTATTCTTCCATCATCTTGTTGGCAAATTTAGCAAATAAAAACACAGGGTGCTGTTAAGTTTGAATTTCATGTAAGCAAATACTTTCTTAGTATAAGTTCCATGCAGTATTTGGGACATACTTATAAAAAATGATCACTGTATATCTGAAAAATCAGATATATGATGAAAATTCACTAAAACCTGATTGGAGGCAGGAGGAGAAGGGGACGACAGAGGATGAGATGATTGGGTGGCATCACTGACTAGATGGATCTGAGTTTGAGCAAGCTCTGGGAGTTGGTGTTGGACAGGGAAGCCTGGCATGCTACAGTCCATGGGGTCACAGAGTCAGACACGATGGAGCGACTGAACTGAATTGAGCTGATCTGAAAAATCAGGCCTAATTGGGTGTCCGAGATTCCTTTATCTGATAATCCTACCATCCCATCCAGTCTTTAACATATACTGTGTTTATACTCAGCATTTCTGTATTAAATACTTTCTTGCACAACTATTTTAACATTTTTTAAGTTTTGTAAACGAATTAACAATTCAAAATTAACTACATGTTTAACTGATTTTAGTGTTTGTTACCCATCCTTTTACATTTTGACTTTTCACATTCTTGAGATCTGTTTAAGAAAGGTACATATATGTTTTCTGGGGGGTTTTTTTGTTTTTTTTTTTTTGCTTATCTGTTACCTATAGATATAAAGACAATTTAGTTGATAAGAAAAAATAGTGATAACAGATTTTTGAGTCTCATAATTCTGAAGGTGTTTTTACACTGTCTTCTGACATTTACTATTGCAGAGTTCTGTATCCATTCTCCATCTTAGGTTTTGTAGATAACCAGAATTTTTCCATACTTCCTAGGGTCTAAACGAATGCAGAAATGTAGAAAACTGGGTAGGGGAATGGGTGGGAGGGTGTTATGGTAACTTTACAGGATAGCACCCTTGCAAGAAAAGGATGGTTCTTGAGTTTTCTGGTTGAGAGAAATAAATTATCTAAGATATCCTATCTAGGATAAAGGGAAATACAGTGTTTTCTGATTTTTTCTCATAAGCAACTGAAATGTACTGACCCTTTAGTTAATTCTTCCATATTTGAGTTGTCTGCCAATTTGAGTTACAGGTTTTGTGTGTTTTCTTTTCTTTTTTTTCTGTACCTTCTAAGGGACTTTACAGTTGAGTCAAGATTCTTGCTGTTCATTGAGAGCTAACCAATTTCAATTCAAACCAAAATACAAGCAAATGTTTTGAAGTCAGTGAAAAAACAAAGTTGAACATACAGTATGATTTTATGCACATGAAAATGCACAGAAAAAAGACGTAGAATGAAACAGGATGAGACGTTTTCTTCTTGACTCATTTACATATTTTATAATGACTATGCATATGGGGTTTCCCTGGTGGCTAAGATGGTAAAGAATTCGCCTGCAATGCAGGAGACCTGGGTTCAATCCTTGGGTCAGGAAGATCCCCTGGAGAAGGGAATAGCTACCTACTCTAGTATTCTTGACAGAATTCCATACACAGTGGAGCCTGGCAGGCTACAGTCCATGGGGTTGCAAAGAGTCAGACTCAACTGAGCAACTAACACACAACACTACTATACCTAATGTATATGGTAGAAAAAGAAAATACTTTAAAATACTGTCCTAAGCATCTCTTAAAGCAAAATACTGTCCTAAGCATCTCTTAAAGCAAATGATTCTTAGCAGGAATTAGAAGAAATTTTAAATGTTGCTTGGGATTATTTGGGTTATTTATAGCATTTTTTTCTAGCAGCATTTATTAGGCTTAAAGTGAAGCTTTGATTAAAGCTGTTACAACAAAATGAACGGGATTACAAGGTTTATCTTCTGCAGTTATTGTAAAGATGTGGATTCTGATTGAATCCTGTGTAATACTCATGGCATTTATAAGTTTTCTCTCCTGTGTGGACTCTCTGATGAATTCGAAGAGCTGAGCTGTGGCTGAAACCCTTACCACACTTAGCACATTGATAAGGCTTCTCTCCTGTGTGGATCCTCTGGTGAATATGAAGATTTGAGCTGTGACTAAAGCCCTTTCCACAGTCATCACATTTATAGGGTTTTTCTCCTGTATGGACTCTCTGATGAATGAGAAGATGTGAACACTGACTGAAACCTTTACCACACTGTTCACATTTATAGGGTTTCTCTCCCGTATGCACTCTTTGATGAGTGTGAAGTTTTGAACTCTTGCTGAAGCCCTTCCCACATTCATGACAAATATAGGGTTTCTCCCCCGTATGGACCCTCTGATGAATGCGAAGATCTGAGCTGTGACTAAAGTCCTTCCCACAGTTGTCACATTTGTATGGCTTCTCTCCTGTATGCACTCTCTGATGGATTTGAAGATTTGAGCGCTGGGTAAAGCCCTTACCACAGTCACCACATTTATAGGACTTTTCTCCTGTGTGGACTAACTGGTGAATTCGAAGATTTGAGCTCTGACTGAAACCTTTACCACATTCATCACACTTGTATGGTTTCTCTCCGGTGTGGACTCTCTGATGAACATGAAGTACTGAACTCCGACTAAAACTCTTACCACACTGATCACACTTAAAAGGCTTCTCTCCTATGTGAAGTCTCTGGTGAATGTGAAGCAATGAATTTCTACCGAGGTCCTTATCACACTGCAATTTATAGAGTTTCTCTTCCAGGTGGACTCTTTGATGATGGTGAAGCCTGGGGATCTGACTGAAGCTATTACTACACACGTTACATATATAAGGTACCTCCCCTGGGTGGGCTCTCTGATGAAAGTGAACACCGAAGCTCTGACTAAGGTTACTGGCAACTTCATCACATCTGTACAGCTGCTTACCTGTGGGGATTCTTGGATGTCTGTATAGGTCTGATCTCTGAGGGAAGCATGTGGGGCTGATGGAGCATGGATAGAACTTTTCTCCAAGTTGATTTCTCTTGAGAATACACTGTGAGTTCCAGTAATAAATTTCTTTACATTTTTTACATCCACAGTATTTCTCTTCCATAGAGCCTTTCAGCAGGTCATTTTGGCATATCTGCCCAATGTACTCTGGAAAGGCTTCCTGTCCTGGGATAGAATGCTGACGTATCAGCTGTTCTTTTTCCATAGAGAGATTTTTCCTGGAAATGCCAACATGGTATCTGCATCCTTGAAAACCACACGAATCACTCACATAGATTTTTCTACCATCATCTTCAGAGTGTTTCCTTTCTAAGGACTGACAAGGTATATACTTGGTATATTTTAAGTTCCTGGGACTTTTGCTTTCAAAAGTCAGTTCATAGTTCCCAAACCCTGCTACTTGTGTGGGGAGTGTTGACCATTCTTGATAGTGAGAAAGGTGTTGCTGCTTTAGGTCTTTGGAATCTATACCTTGAACCATTTCCACATAGTTTTTATTCTCATATATCTGAGTGCTGGCAGTCTTCCAGCCCTGCCAGCAGGAAAGATTTTCATGTTCTAAATATCTGAATCTTTCTTCCTGGGGTTTGCAGCTCTTTTTCCAATTTCCTAAAACATAAGCAGATAATCCAGTGGTAAGCAGATAATCTAGCTCTCTGTTTAAAAATTTCCAAGTATCTCAGTCAACAAGCTCCAGAATTATAGGAATATATGTGTGGGCACAAGTGAGAAAGAAGGGTTATGACTTAGGCTGCTCCATATTTGGGTGTGAAATTCATTTGTTTATTCATTCATAGATATATTCATTTCACTCATTCATTCAATAAATATACCAATTACCTTGGTAAATATACTTACTAAGTACTGTTAGAAATAAAAGAGAAAGTGATTGGCTTCATGGAAATCGTCTTAAAGACTGAGATTTAATTAGATTACTCTATTTGGGAAATTATTATAAGAAATAAAATACCTCTTTCTATTTTTTGTTCTAAGATAGTGTAGTAGATTGTGTTTAAAAAAAAAAAGAAAACTCTGCTTATTTACATCTTTGGGTGTTCCTCTTACACACTGACTCTATAATTTGCTTTGGCCACTGGGACAAAAGTGAGACAAACAGAAATCTAAAAAGTACTTGTACGTTGGGGTTGATCTCTTTTGCTGGTTTCGATAATCCTGTGATCACCATCACATAAATGAACCTGGGCTGGCCTCCTTGAAGAAAGACATATGGTCAACTCATGGCCATTATAACATTGATACTGAACAACTGCCAGACATGTGAGTCAGGCTATCCAGTTTTATCTTTAGACCATCTAGCCCCAATCAAGTCACTCCTGATAGAAGATCCATGTAACCAATTGGAATCATGAAACATAGCAAAGTTGTAAGTTACTAAGTTTAGGGTGGTTTGTTATATAGCAAAAGCTAACGTCTACAAATAGAACATGAAATGAGAACAAATTTAGGACTGCACAAAATTATAGGTGGAAATCTGTGCTTTATGTGTAATCCAGAAAATAGTCACAAATAATAATAATCACAAACACCTATTAATTACATAGCCAAGATGTTTTGGAAGATACCTTGTTTTCCTTATCTGTTATTTTTCATGTGATTTAAGACCCATTTTTGAGAATCTCTTTTACCTCAATACAGCAATCAGATAAAGAACCAAAATACTCAACAAAACAGGTCGCAGGAGAAACGAACCTTCTTCCCTAAGAGCTGGGATGACTCACCTGCTAACATGACGTTTGCGTAATTCTCCCACATGACCTCTCGGTAGAGCCTTTTCTGAGAAGAATCCAAGAACCTCCACTCCTCCCACGTAAAAACAACAGTCACATCCTCAAATGTTACTGCCATCTGGTCGAAGATTAGCTTTCTAGGAAGAAGCAACCTAAGAAGATGGACAACAACAAAAGACATTCAGCATGTAACGTAAGTGGTAAACAGAAAGAAATAACTCTAATAATGAAGACAGACAAGTAAGAAGAGACATAATACAGGTCAGCTGGTTAAATAATGTATACAATCACTGAATACCACCACCATCATAAGAAATATTTATATACCATTTGTCTGCTAACCACTGGCCAGGTAAGTACTTCACATATATCTCAAGTAATCCTCATAGTGATCCTGTGTTGCAGATACTATTATTATCCCCATTTACACATTACTAAATAATGGTTGAAAAAGATTAATTCCCAAGATCATGAATCTGGAGGTATTGCAGCTAGGATCCAGGTCTACACACTTTGAACAAGAACTGTTTGCCAACTATAACAATATCGCTTTATGTTGCTTGTATTATTGCTTCATGATTGGTCATTTTAGACATTATCTATTTACTTCCTACCTCTACTTTTCATCCTCCTATACCATTATTGCTAATTTTCTGTTTAGATCAATAAGCAGCACTTGTATAATTTTGAATATGATTATACACTTCTGGGGGGGGGATTACCTGTTTAATTTTTACTTGATAAATTTACTATCCTCAAATTCTTGATTTGTTTAAAAGGCTTTATATAATCTGTTTTATCAAGTGTCTCATTCCCTTGCCCACCCCTTTTGTTTTGGAAAGTCTATCTTCCTGCTGCAATCAGGGCCTGCTACTCTTTAGTGCTCCATTTTCAAAATCACATGATTCTTCCTCTTTTGTGATTTACTCCATTAATTGGGGGGCACATAACAACATGAGTTCAATCAAGCCTGTGAACATTACACTTTTTAGCCACTGAAAAAAGCAAAGGTGAGAAACAGGTGAGGTTTTCTTCAAAGGAGAATCTCCAAACATAGTTACTAGGAAAGATTCCCAAGAATCATTTGAATCACTGTATACCTTAAGTCTTTCTGTCCCTCACAAGTGGCTGGGTATAGAATTCTAGAGTGAAAATATTTTTCCTTAAAACTGTTTCACTGTTTTATAAGCTTTTAGTGTTGCCAAGACTGATTAAAAATAAATAAATAAACTGTAATTATTTTGTAGGCAACTTTTTCTTTCCTCTCTGGAAATATTTTAGGGTGGTCTTTAATGGCTGGCCTTCTGCCCCAAATGGTGTATGGATTTAGCTTCTCCAAAATTCACAGGGCTTATCAGTTCCTTTCTTGTCTATATTACTCTGCTGGGTATTCTGGGATGTAACATCTTCAGCCCTAAATGGCTTTTATCACTATTCCTACTGTTGCCATCCAGGTTTTTGTTGAAATTTCTCATTTGCTGATGGCTCTTCAGTTTCATTATTGTAAGTTCATAAATTTCTTGCTTTGTTTTATTATTATGCAGTTCTAGAAAGTTGAAGGGATAAATGCATGTATTCTGTCTAAAAATAGTATAACAGATCATAAGTTGGTTGTGTAACAAATTCATTTTATTTGATGACACATTCTTAATTGTAAAGTTCAATTTAAAATGTTCAATAAATATTAAGAATAAGAGAAATAGATACTTTTAAGGAGATTACAATAAAATGGAAGAAAACTAAACTATCATCATCATAAAACTATAATCATAGCAGCAGCTAAATATTATCTAGCAGTTAGGGGCACTTATGTGAAATAGGCTATGTTATCTCATTTATTATCACAACAATCCAGTAAGATATTATTATCAACACCAAAGGAAAAATTGATCCTTTTGAACTGTGGTGTTGGAGAAGACTCTTGAGAGTCCGTTGGGCTGCAAGGAGATCCAACCAGTACATCCTAAAGGAGATCAGTCCTGGGTGTTCATTGGAAGGACTGATGCTGAAGCTGAAACTCCGATATTTTGGCCACCTCATGTGAAGAGTTGACTCATTGCAAAAGACCCTGATGCTGGGAGGGATTGGGGGCAGGAGAAGGGGATGACAGAGGATGAGATGGTTGGATGGCATCACCAACTCGATGGACATGAGTCTGAGTAAACTCCAGGAGCTGGTGATGGACAGGGAGGCCTGGCGTGCTGCGATTCATGGGGTTACAAAGAGTCGGACACGACTGAGCGACTGAACTGAACTGAACTGAAAGGAAAGAGGAATCTAAATTTAGCAAGATTAAGTAACTATTACAAGGTCCTGTAGTTACAAAGTAGTGGTTTTTTAACATAGGCCTACTGCTGCTTTACCTCCTGAGCAAAAGTGAGAGAAGTTGAAAACAATTTGTGAAGGGTGGTAAATCAAGATTTCCACATACAGCCATATGATGTTAATATAGAAGGACAAGAGGAAGATATACTGAAATATTCAAGGACTCAAAATATACCACCCAGGTACCATTTTCCAAATAAACTAAATAAAAATTCATGTCTAAAAAGTGAAACAATCACAAATATGAATTCAACAATGAGAAAATACAGTGCTGTTTATTTTTTTTAATGTTTATAAATGCTAAAAATTTTAAAGACAGTAAGTCTACTTAATACATACAAATTGGGATTCTCACAAACTGACAAACTGCTGTTGGTATGAAAAATAAATGAACTCACTGGTCCTTCACTTTTTAAAAAGTACAATATATAAAACCCAGTCTGTTGTTACTGGTTTTGATTGTCATTTTAAGAAAGATTTAAGAATTTATGTTTTAAATATACTAGAGATTAACAGTCTAGTATCTTTTACTGAAAGTAAGTTCATAAAAATTGTAACAATGCTAATATAAGTAAGTATAAGTATATAAGTATATAAGTATAATATAAATATAAATAATATAAGTAAAAATTAAGTCTACCATCCACAAATAAGAAATAACCACTGTTGTTTTCATTGTGTCCTTTCTGACCTTATTTTCATACATACGCCATTAATGTTTTTTTTAATAACAAAGACATCATAATTCTGCAGGTTGCTTTTTCAGGTAATGTATAGTGTACAACTTCCCATTTCAGTACATATAGGTCTGTGTTAATTGTGGTGATTTTTAAGTATGTCCAAAATTATTTGATTTTGTCCAATTATTTGATATGCTTCCCTTCAAAAGGTGGAGCCTAATTCCCCACCTCCTTGAATGTGGCCTGGTCTTAGGGACTTAGTTCTGATGAATAGAAAAAAATCCACAAGGGGAAGCTATGGTGTGCAGCTTTCAAGACTAGCTCATAAAAGGCACTACATCTTCCTCTATGTGCTTCCCTGATAGCTGAGTTGGTAAAGAATCCACCTACAATGCAGGAGACCCCGTGTTGATTCCTGGATCGGGAAGATTCCCTGGAGAAGAGAAAGGCTATCCATTCCAGTATTCTGGCCTGGAGAATTCCATGGACTGTATAGTCCATGGGGTCGCAGAGTCCGACACGACTGAGCGACTTCCACTTTTCTTCCTCCTTGCTTTTTCCTTGGATCAGTTACTCTGGGAGAAGCTACCTAAAATACTGTGAGAATACTTAGACTGCCCTGTGGAGAGGCCCAAGTGGTAAGGAATTGAGGCCTTCTGTCCTCAGTGAGAAATGAGGCATCTGCCAACAACCATGTGAGAACCATCTTAGAACTGGATCCTCCAGCCCCAGTGAAGGCTTCCAGTGAACGGTAGTCCTGCTGTTGGCTTGACTGCAAGCTCATGAGAAACCCTGAGCCAGAACCACATTGCTATACTGCCAGATTCCTGACTCAGAAACTGAGTAAGATAATAAATGTTTGTCATTTTTAAAAGCTGCTACATATAATTTGTTATGCAAAAATAGATGATTAATGCATTGTTGTAAAAGCTGCATAGCATTTCATGTTATAATGTTCTAAAATTTAACTGTTCCCATACTAATGGACATTGAGATTGTTTCCACTTTTCTGGCTATCATAATATGGTAGTAAACAACTCTTAAATATATCATGAACACTCACTTGTAATATCTCTAGAAAATACATTTCTAGAAATTAGAACCACAAGGCATGTGTATTTCAGTTTACCAAAAACACTATAAGACTTCCCTTGAAAATACTTTTAAAAATATGTTGAAACACTTTCTTCCACTAGAAAAGTTAAAAGCTCAATACCTACATTCAAAATTAGTAGGTAGAAGTCTATAGAGGAAAAAAATGAATTATATAAAGAATCAATTAAGATGGCAAGTAAAATTCTTAATAGACAAAAGGATGCTAAAATAGTTTTAAAATATAGAGGCATATGGCGTAGAAGAGACACACTCCAAATTACTGAATCCTAAAAGATTAAACATGAAAAGACAGGATAATCTATAACAGAAAATTGTAGACCAAAATAAAGTAGGCTTTGCAATATTAATATTACATGAAGTAAAGTCAAAGGGGAAAGATTACATTAGAGTCATTTAATGAGAAATGAAATGATTGCCCTTTGAGTACCACCAACCAGAATTAAAATTTTGTCAGAATTTCTCCAAGACTTTATACTGGTAATAGCTGAGTATGGAAAATTTCAAACAGTCATGAGTAATAAAGAGGATGATAAAATGAGGTCCCATATAACCAACTCAATAATTACCAACATTTTATGAATCTTGTTTTAATCCTCTGCTTCCCCCACTACTATTATTGTCATTGTTATTGGCTGGAGTATTTTAAAGAAAATCCCAAATATAAGGTCATTTCACATATAATTATTTCAGGAATATTCCAATATGTATCTTTCACTAACTGATAGGGACTTTAAAAAATGTAATTGCCTAACAAGATTACTATTATATTACATAATATCATTTAACAGTCACTTCAAATTTAATTTTTCTAATGTAAAAGTATTTTTTAGTTGAATTGTCTAAATCAGTATCCAAAAATGGTCAATTTGTATTTGGTTATTGTGTTTCTTAAATCTCTCTTGTTCTGTAAGTCACCTCCTACCTTTTAAAAAAATTCATTGCACCATTGATTTGTTAAAGAAACCCAGACATTTATCCTGTAAAACAATGGTTTTCAAACTTCATTAAGCATCGGAATCACCTGGAGAACT